AAAAAAAAAAAAAAAAAAAAAAAAAAAAAAAGTTTGACAAAATCTTATTTTATGTTACTGGAGAATCCATTAGAATTGTACTCAATGGTATGGATGAAAATTTCACTTTTGTATTTCTTCTACTTACTCAATGTGGACTGAAATGCATTTTCAGTTTAAGCTGACAGGTTCTCCTTTGTCTTCTATTTGTAATCCGACGAAAGTTGGACCTTAATCTTTGTGGCTTCTGTCTGGGTTTCAGGTGACATTCATGGGCAGTATGGAGATCTTTTAAGACTTTTTGAGTATGGCGGATTCCCTCCTGATGCAAATTATTTGTTCTTAGGGGACTACGTGGACCGTGGCAAACAGAGTTTAGAAACAATATGCCTTCTTCTTGCCTACAAAATCAAATATCCTGAGAATTTCTTTCTCTTAAGAGGAAATCATGAATGTGCTTCTATAAATAGGATATATGGATTCTATGATGAGTGTAAACGCCGCTTCAATGTGAGATTATGGAAAGTCTTCACCGATTGTTTTAATTGCCTTCCTGTGGCTGGTCTTATAGACGATAAAATACTTTGCATGCATGGCGGTCTTTCTCCAGATCTAACAAACTTGGATCAAATAAGAAATTTACCTCGTCCAACTGATATTCCTGATTCTGGCTTGCTTTGTGATTTACTTTGGTCGGATCCTAGTCAAGAAATAAAAGGTTGGGGTATGAACGACAGGGGAGTCTCACACACTTTTGGCCCTGATAAGGTGGCTGAATTCTTGATGCAGCATGATATGGACCTCGTTTGTCGTGCTCATCAGGTATGAACATTTTCTTTGATTCTTTTGATCCTTTGTGCTTTCTAATGTTGATGGAATGCTTCTTGCCCAGGTTGTGGAAGATGGATACGAGTTTTTTGCTGACAGGCAGCTAGTTACAATATTTTCAGCTCCCAACTATTGTGGTGAATTCGATAATGCTGGCGCAATGATGAGTGTTGATGAAAGTTTGATGTGTTCGTTTCAGATTCTTAAACCAAAATGATGGAAAGCGGTTCTCATGAAGCTAAATTGGTCAGAGAATGCCCAAGGTGAGCATCTAAATTATAGACGTGTTTGGCCTCCATTATTTTTTATTATAATGGGGGAATAGTGTTTTTTTT